GAGTCTCATGGCTTCTCCTGCCCGGGCTGGCTTTGAACCGCGATCCTCAGATCTCAGCCTCCTGAGTAGCTAGGATTACAGGCGTGAGCCACCAGCGCCCGGCTTCTTCAGTTATTTTAAAACTGCAATTGGAGGCATGGCTCAAGTGATAGAGCACCAGCTATGAGCTATAAAGCTGAATGAGAACTCTTCATTCCTTAGTTCAAGCTCTAATACAAGCAAAATATAAATAAACGAATTAATAATTAAAACAAAAGCCCTTTCCTAGTTTACTGCACTGAATGTTTTAATTAATGATCGCTATGTTTTTGTCTTATTGCCAGTTGATAGTGTATAGAATTGTTAATGGCTTTTTTTTTAATGCTTGTCCTGGGGCTTGAACTCAGGGCCTAAATGCTGTCCCTAATTTTTTGTGCTCAAAGCTAGCACGTGAGCCACAATTTCATTTCCAGCTTTTTAGTGGTTAATTGGAGATCAGCGTCTCACAGATTTTCCTGCCCCAGCTAGCTTCAAACTGCAATCCTTAGGTCTCATCCTCCTGAGTAGCTAGGATTACAGAGGTTGGAGCTACCAGCTCCTGGCCAATAGTATGTAGAATTTTGTCTCAGTGCCAGTTGACTTTCAAAATTGAGTTCATTTGAAAAAACGAACACTAAAAGTAACTTACAAAAAGTGTTATGTTTTCCATTGTAGTTTACAATGATGAAAAAAAATGTTGCTTTTTCTATTTTTATGAAAAATTGATTAAAAATATAAAATGAGAATTTTGCTAAACTGCTTTTGAGAACCTTGTTTTTAAAGTTTATGAAATCAGATTAATTTGGTTTTAGAATTCTTTTTTTTCCTTTTTTGAGTTTTGTTTATAGATCGTTTTGTATTTATCCTTCCCCTATTTCTAGTCTTCTTGTCAACAATTTTGAAGATGGCTCCCATATGGACTCACCATTAGACCCAAGTGGAAGCTTTAATGTTGTCGTTAAGGAGGAACCTCTGGATGATTATGACTATGAACTTGGGGAGTACCCAGAAGGGGTTACTGTGAAACAAGAAGAGACTGATGAAGAAACAGATGTGTACTCAAACAGTGATGATGATCCTATACTGGAGAAACAACTAAAGAGGCACAATAAAATTGATCATCTAGAAACTGACCATTCTTCTAAATGGGTACCAAACAACCCTTTAGGTGTTGCTAAAGCTAAAACATTCAAATTAGACACTGCAAAGATGCCAGTAGTCTGTCTGGAGCCTTGTGCTGTTACCAGAAGCACAGTTAAGGTTTCTGAACTACCTGATAACATGCTTTCCACATCACGGAAGGATAAGTCTTCTGTGTTGTCAGAATTAGAATATTTGCCTGCATACATTGAGAACTCTAGTGGGACTAGCTTCTGTTTAGCTAAGGAATCAGAAAATGGTCTTAGAAAACAGTCTCCAGACCTCAGAGTGGCACAAAAATATTCCCTACTTAAAGAGCCTCAGTGGAATTATCCTGATGTATATAACAGTATTAGCTCCGAAAGAATACATAACAGTACAAGTGGTTTAGCAGGGGACTCGTTTTCAGGAAAAGAGGAATCGAGCAGAAAACGGACAACTATGCTTAAGATTGCAACAACCCCAAAGTCTGTGAATGCTAATCAGAATGCTTCTCCTAATGGCCCTGGAAAAAGAGGGAGGCCTCGAAAACTGAAACTCTCCAAAGCAGGCAGACCACCTAAAAACATGGCAAAGTCTTTAACTTTTACAAAGAACACACCTGTAGGCTCTGGAAATACCTTTCCTGATGTGAAGCCCGATCTGGAAGATGTGGATGGTGTTCTCTTTGTTTCCTTTGAGTCAAAGGTAAGATGGTAGTTTGCAACATTTTATTTAGGGCCCATAAAATTAATCTCACTATAATATTGGCTGGTAATTTTTTGTTTTGTGACTATATCCATTTATGAGGTGGCTTGGAGAAAGGGAGAGGAAGTAGTTCCAAAGTGTGGGGTTTAGTTGAACAGGCATCATTTAAGATATTTTATTTGAAGTAGCTTTAGAAGTTATGTCTCCTAAAAAATTATTATTATAGACTTCAATGAATTAACTAGTGGTGCTGGAATGTCTCCCTCTTTTTATTTAGGGCTAGCCTCCTACCCTGTCTTCCTATGTAGCGGGGCATGTCACCACATCCAGGCCCATTATAAAAAAAAAAAAAGTGCTCTACCACTTTGAACCCTTGCTCCTGGTTTTCTGGTGTTTAATTGGAAATAAGAATCTCATAGAATTTCCTGCTTGGACTGGCTTTGAACTAGATCCTTAGATCTCAGCCTGCTGAGTAGCTAGGATTATAGGGTAAGCCACCAGCACCTGGCTTATTCAGATACTTTTGTCTTTTTTTTTAAGGCAGAATATCACTTTGTATGGATGGCTTTTCCTTTGTCTCTCAAGTGCTAGATTTTTTTTTCTTTTTTTTGCGGTCCGGTCGTGGGGCCTGAACTCTGGGCCTGAGCGCTGTCCCTCAGCTCTTGAGCTCAAGGCGAGCGCTCTACCACTTGAGCCACAGCACCACTTCCATTTTTCTACTGGTTTATTGGAGATAAGAGTCTCACGGACTTTGTGGCCCGGGCTGGCTTTGAATGGCGATCCTCAGATCTCAGCCTCCTGAGTAGCTAGGATTACAGGTGTGAGCCACCAGTGCCTGGCTAAAAATTACAGTTATATAAAGGAGTTACCATTCAACAAATCAGCTTATAACTACAATATATCTTGATCAATATCTCTTTCCATATTCTCCATACCTCCCAACCCTACCTTTCCCCTCTCAATTTACATTATTTCCCCCTCTGCGTCTATAGTTCCCCGACCCCCTTTTTTTTTGGTAGGTTGTGGGGCCTGAATTCTGGGCCTGGGCACTGTCCCTCATCTCTTCAGCTCAAGGCTAGCGCCCTACCACTTGAGCCAAAGCACCACTTTTGGCTTTTTTTGCTTATGTGGTGCTGAGGAATCGAACCCAGGGCCTCAGGCATGCAAGGCAAGCGCTCTACCACTGAGCCACCTTCCCAGTCCCCCCCGCCCTTTTTTTTTTTTGTCCTGGGGCTTGAACTCAGGGCCTGAGCACTGTCCCTGAGCTGCTTTTGCTCAAGGCTAGCACTATACCATTTTAGCCACAGCGCCACTTCTGGCTTTTTCTATTTATGTGGTACTGAGGAGTTGAAACCAGGGCTTCATGCATGCAAGGCAAGCGTACTACCACTAAGCCTATTCCCAGTCCCAGGATTACAAGTATATACCATCATGATAACCTTTGGTTTTGCCTTTTGTTCCCTGAACCTTTTTTTTTTTTTTTTGGTCGGTGTTGGTTGTGGGGCTTGAATTCTGAGCCTGGGTGCTGTCCCTCAGCTCTTCAATTCAAGCCTAGGGCTCTACCACTGGAGCCACAGCACCAAGTCTAGATTTCTGGTGGTTAATTGGAGATAAGAGTCTCATGTATGCTCCTGCTTGGGCTGGTTTTGAACTGGGATCCTCAGATCTCAGACTGCTGAGGCTAGGATTATAGGCATGAGCCACTGGCACCCGGCCTTCTTCTTTTTCTCCTTCTTCTTCTTCTCCTTCTTCTTCTTCGTCTTCTTCCTTCTTTCTTCTCAGCTTTTTTTTTTTTTCTTCTTTTTTTTTTGGGGGGGGGTCCGGGCTGTGGGGCCTGAACTCTAGGCCTGGGCGAAGTCCCTCAGCTCTTCAGCTCAAGGCTAGCACTCTACCACTTGAGCCACAGGGCCACTTCTGGCTTTTTTCTTTTTGCTTATGTGGTGCTGAGGAA